AGGAATGCCACCTCTTACTGTGCCAGACATGGATCTCTTGATCACCAAAAGAGCAATTCGATTAGCCTTATGCCACTTCTCATATCTTGCCTTGATATTTGTTATATCATCTGTAGCAGGTTCTGGAGGAGGATTCTCTCTCGTTGCTATGTCCAAATCCATTAACCCCAGGCAGATCTCAAGGTCTTGTTTCCACTTTTTGTAGTTTATTCCACTTAGGGTTTGAACCGTGTTCACAGCATTCATCACTGAATATATATATAACATGCATGCATTGATTAAACCAATCCCAAAACTTTATAAAAACGAAATTGATCCAACACTTGTGAGCAAGATGGATCAATATGTCTTCTGACACTGATTTATGTGTTATACCAGTCACCTTCATGCTGATTCCCAACACTTGTGAGCAAGATGAGAACCTTCACTACTGATATAGCACATAAATCATGTCATACCATTCATATATGATCCAGAAAACAATGATCAACACTTGTGAGCAAGAAGAACAGTCTCTATATCATATAGAATGCAATTTTATGAACAGCAACTTTACTACATGATTCAATCTCTCATGATAAACGGCTGTAGCTTGAATATATGATTAATTGAATTATGTAGATGTTGTCCATATCAACCTTATAAGTACCGAAGTACTAATGATCATGCAGATCAGTTAAAACTGACATGAATTAAAAACTATGCAAGATCTTAACACTGAATGTTTTCGACAATCATCAAATATGCTTATAAAATTTATATATGCCGGTTGATCAATTGAAAACATATGAGGTATTGATTCTTTATTGGTTTTAACCATACAAACAATGGCTCTGATACCAATTGTTATCCATATTGTTTATATGATCAAAACACAAGATATACAATTATATACAATTTATATGAAGTACTTACTTGATGAAGATGCAGCAGCCATGTAGACTATGCGTGGCTAGTAAACACCAAGTCTGATGTAGTTGTTGTGATCGAACAGAACACCGATTCTTCTGCAAACTCCTAGCTTTATGACAATGCTCTATGGGAAGCTTTAGTTGTCATGTCTAGGGTTGGCAGGGACCGGTGCTTATATACTAGCCAAAAGTCTTAGATTCCATCCATAAGGGAAAGCTAAGAACTCTCCTTACTTGGCTCTTAAGTAAATTATCATAATCATATATTATTATTATTAAGGAATCAATCAAAACCTACTTATATTGTAAGACACTTAATGTCGGGTTGATATAAGGAAAGTAAATCGCAACTCAACTGATCTCCAACCTATACATTCCTATTACATATAGTAGACCATTTATGGTTGATTTATATTGAATAAATCCAACAGCTACTACATATAGGCTCCAGTGGAAGTAGCAGAACTCCAATTATCCAAGGGAGGCAGATTGTCTGCCCTTCCTTTCCCATGCCCTTCCCATCCCCTCCTATTTGTGCGGTCACGGTTAAGCCACGTCAACATTTTATATTAATTTTTAATAGAGATAATAAAACATAAAACAATATGAATATAAAATGTTGACGTGGCTTAACCGTGACCGTACAAATAGAAGGGGATGGGAAGGATATGGGAAAAAGAGGGCAGACAATCTACCTCCTTATCCAAGAGGGTTCGAGTCAGATTGTTGCTTATGGGAGAGGAGGTAGGAGCTCACAACGAATGGGAGATTTCTCCATGGCATTGGCTTTTGCACTCGAAAATGCTCGGGACGGCGGATATATCTACCACGGGTTCAATGCTAGGATTTTAAAGTCAAATTGGTAGCGGAGCCGTGGAGCTCAGCAGGATGGAAAGACGTTCAAAATCAAAAAGCAACCCACCATTTCTAATAAAATTACAGTAAATGGAGTCTTTGTTAATAGGTGTTAGATGTTGTATCACAAAAAGTCTTATTGTAATTAGCAAATCATTTGTCACATATTTTATTTTACTTTTTTTGTTTGTACAAAAATGTTTAGGGTGAGGAGGCAAGGCTATTCCATCTACAGTATACCATAAGCTTCTTTGAAGATTTAGAGAGGGGGTTTTAGGTTTTTTGTTTTCCATCAAAATGACCAGGTTGCGAAACTAGAATCTAGATCTTTGTCCTTATCAATTCAACAACCCTTATTGGCTATTTTATAATATTTAAATAATATTTAGACGTGAGATTCTTCCCTTTTTCAACTGTGGAAAAAATTGCGTTGTCCTTTTTTCGACTTTTAGTTGTGATCACATTTGCAAGATTAATTAATAGTCTTGTGGCATAAAATAAAAGAAAAATTAGTATCCGGTCTCTAGTTTCTAATGTTTATTAATTAAGAATTTATTAGTTGAATTACATGTAAGTTACATAATTTTATAATAAAAATTAGTAATTGATTTAGAGTTTTAATACTCACACCCTTATTAAATTACTAATTAATTTTCAATTCAAACATTTCCAAAATATAAAAAATAAAAATAGAATAAGTTTGTACCCATTAAATTTTTATAAAAAATTGATATGTACCCATTCTTAAATATACCAATTTGTTATATGAAAACTGTACCCTTTTTAATATAAAATGTACCCATTTTTTATTTATATAAAATTCATTCAATCTTTTCTCTAATATATTTTTAGACTTATATGGGTACATTCTATTTTGTTGATTTGAGACTGTATCTATGTCAAGTTCAATAGAAGAAATTTAATCATGTTATTAAGCCTAATATCTTCTTCTTCTTTTTTATTTTCTTTTTTGTGTTTTTGAAAAATGTACCCATGTTTTGGTACAATAATTATTTGGTTAGTTTTTTTATGAACGTACCCATGTGTGTGTACACACACAAACACACACACACACACACAAAATATACTGGAGAGTATAATTTATCTTTAATTTTTTTAATCCCATAAATTTTTGGGTTTTATTTTAAATCTCATTAATATAAATAATACAAATTTCATTTTTAAGTTAAAAATATAATAACCTACATAGAAATACATTATTACATTAATGTCAGAGATTTCAATAAAAAACAAAAAACCACAAAGATTTCAGTCAAAGAACATTGGTAGTTAGGGGAGACCGCATCCAAAGTGTACCTAAAATAAAATATAAAAAAATAACATAGAATCTTGTCCGTACTCTAAAATAATAAATTAATTTTTTTAGCATGACAAATTAATTTTTAAAGTAAGTTTAATTAGTTGATTAATGTTCTTCTTTCTTTAAATATCAACTTCTGTTTTCTGAAAACCCCAGAAGTATTCCGGAGCTAAAGATATCAACCAGCCAAACATGGAATCCACCCAGAACAAGCCGCATGTGGCAGTCTTAGCAAGCTCAGGGATAGCTTATTAGTATCCGGTCCCTAGTTTTAATCTTTATTGATTAAGACCTTATTAGTTTTTAGATTTTGATCAAAATCCCTATCATTAATATATTAATGAATTACATGTAAGTTACATAATTTTATAATAAAAATTAGTAATTGATTTAGAGTTTTAATATTCACACCCTTATTAAATTCCTAATTAATTTTCAATTCAAACATTTCCAAAATATAAAAAATAAAATTAGAATAAGTTTTTACCCATTAAATTTTTATAAAAAAATTGATATGTACCCATTCTTAAATATATATGAATTTGTTATATGAAAACTGTACCCTTTTTTAATATAAAATGTACCCATTTTTTTTTATATAAAATTCATTCAATCTTTTCTCTAATCTATTTTTAAACTTATATGGGTACATTCTATTTTGTTGATTTGAAAATGTATCTATGTCAAGTTTAATAGAAGAAATTTAATAATGTTATTAAGCGTAATATCTTCTTTTTTTTTCTTTTTCTTTTTTGTGTTTTTGAAAAATGTACCCATGTTTTGGCACAATAGTTTTTTGGTTAGTTTTTTTATGAACATACCCATGTGTGACACACACACACACAATATACTAGAGAGTATAATTTATCTTTAATATTTTTAATCCCATAAATTTTTGGGTTTTTGTCACAGCCCGTCCCAGAATTTTAATTCCGAGGACGTGAAATGACCAATGTGACCTTAAACGGGATTAAGGTGTGTAAATGTTTGACATTTGTTTTACCTAAAGATCCTAAACTATTGTTATTTAGAATATTATTTTATGTTAGGGACTTAAACTAGGGTTTAGATTTACATTTGTTTGGTCTAATAATTTTGTATTGGACTTAGGTGGGATCCCCACCTCCTGAAATCCTTCCCCAAAACCCGTAGGTTGTCTCTCTCCCTCTTTCTTCCTCATCTCTCCCTCAGAAACACTCTCTCTCTTACTCTCGAACTCTCTCAAGCTCTCGGACAAACACCAAGAACAGCCACAAACGTGCACCAACGTCCAATCTAAGATCATCTTCGTGATCTTGGGAACTTCACGAGCACGGGGGTATAAGTTTCAGGTAAGTTTCATTTCTGAAATCCTAGTTTCAAACAACCCCGTGAATTGACACTGTTCACGAACTTAAATTTCGTTGTGTTTTAGGCTAATCTGAGATCACCACGAGTCTTAGAAAGTTCCAAGGAGGCTCGGAGTGCCTCGTTTGAACAAAATGGACGTCGGGATCGTTGGGTTCGAGTTTGGCCGAATTTGAGGAATTTTGGAAGGTATGATCTTGTTGTTTTTAGACCTTAAAACTCTTCCATCGTGATTGTACATGTGAAATGCTTCATTTTGGTTTAAAATGCGAAGAAATTGGTTGAAAAACGAAGGAGAAAAGTCAATTTGAAATTTTTCCAGAAACCGGCGAACAGTCGCGCGGCGACCGGCGACTCGCCGGAGAAGACAGGGAATCTTCCGTCAAGTTTGACGGAATATTCCGACGCCGTTAGTTAACTTTAACGGAAACCGTTAGTTTTTAACGGAATATTCCTGGAATATTCCTAACGCCGTTCACTGTACCGTCAGTGTGCCTGGCACGTGGCTGCGCGTGGGCCGCGCGTAGGTCCGTGCCACGTCAGGCGCGTGGGGGCGCGTGGAGCATCCAAAAATTATTTTAAAAATATGGGGATGATCCTGAGGTTGTGTAGGTCACTGTGGTATATTCATATACCCAATTTGAGCATCGTATGAAGAATTTATTACCTAGTTGGTTTAGGTGCGTTAAATGTGCGTTAAATGATTGTTTTAAGTTATTTCACTTCTAGGTGGAACTTATAACGAGGACGAGCACATCCAGGGGCGTCAAGGGGGTTACGACCCGGCGACATACCAGTGAGTGGGCATTTGTTTTTTATATATACCTATATACTCGATTTCCCCAGAAATCAAAATTTAAATGAAAAAATATATTGAAATGAAATGAAATATGATGTGATTGCCATGCATAGAATGTTATGGATATTATGAACTGTCGTATGATGCATATATGTATGATGGTGCTGTGGACGCACAGGTAAGTATTTAATTACTGTTATGTTGAGGATGATGATATATTGAGCTCATATCCTGCACCATGGTTTAGTGCTTATAGTATTCACCGCATCGCACGCTCGCCTTGGATCCAAGTAGATGCTGGTCGTACAGTCCACGCGGAGTGGGTACGACGGGCCAGTCGTAGAGTGTTAGTGAGATTATGACTGGTGGGTGACCTTAGGTTATTGTATGCAGATGATTGATGAGAGAAGCACTAGAGCGAATATTACCATGAGTCGTTCAGACTACATTAGGTGGTTCCGACTTATGTGCAGAAGGCCGGACAGGTCACGCGGAGTGACTCCGGCAGAGAGTGAGATTGATAGATGTTGAGCTCTAGGTTCAATCGTTCAGGGCTATTAGAGGGCCTCCGATTGATTATTTCTTTTACCTGATTATATTATGTTAATGCATTCATACTACACTGTTGAAATTGGCATGGTACATTCTTTATTGAATCTGTTTATAAGATTGATGATTGAGACAGTTGAGATATATATGCTATATACTATTTTTCTGGGAAAGTATACAGGTTTTCCAAAAAGGGGTTATAAATGTGGATTTATGAAATGATTTGGAAAAGCTTGATTTTCGCCCACTCACGTTTTCTGTTTTTCGCCCCTCCAGGTTCTAGTTGATAGTTGAGGCGTTGGTGGCCTACGAGGACTGCTTCGGCGTTCTGACAGACTAAATAAATGTAGGATTCACCCGAGGGTGTTGTAAATTAGTTATGTTCCTACTTGACTGCACCTAGATGCTTATGCTCTGTTTATGTGTGTTTAGTACACTCTTATGCACATAGAATGCTCGGTTGTAAATAACTGCAATTAGTGGTTTTCGTTGACTCGTATTTTATTATTAAATCGTTTCCGCTTGCGTTATGGTTACGTCACACTCACGTGACGGCCAGCACGTCCTAGTCTTCGGGTTAGGGTGTGTCAGTTTGGTATCAGAGCATAGGTTGCAGTCCTGTATAACTAGTGATTTTACTTATTAATTTTTGGATGTTTTCTGTCAGAATTATGCCGCCTCGTAGAGATCCTCGCCGTGCTGCTGAGCCTAATTTCCCCGATATAACTCAGTTAGGGGCAGCAATGGCTCAAGCTTTTCAGGCTAATATCCGTCCTCCTCAGAGAACGCCCGTAGAGACGATGTATAATCTGAAACTGGAAACTTTTGAGGGAAATGAAGGTTATGAAGGGGCAGAAAAGTGGTTGGATCGAATTGAGCAGACCTTTCAAGTGATGCAAAGTCAGGGAAACCTGCCAGCTAATAGATGGGTGGAGACCACCACCTGGTTTTTGGGCCGTGAGCCAGCTGCGTGGTGGATAAATCAGTCGAGGCACATGGCACCTGAAAGGGCAGCCGAATGAGAGGTATTTAAGGAAAATTTTATGAAGAGATTTGTTCCTCCGGAATATATAGATCGCAAGAAACAGGAATTCACCAGTCTGAAGCAGAGGAATATGTCTGCACATGAGTACTACAGGAAGTTTACTGATTTATCCCGTTATGATTCTGATTTAGCGGGTAATCAAGCAGAAATGCTTCGTCGTTTCAAGCTAGGATCTAAAAAGAAGTACAGAACGTTTGCCAATGCACTTCCCTGTGCCGATTATCATGAGTATTTTGAGATTCTGGTCATGATGGAAGACTCTGATAATCTTCCGGACAGTGAGGATGAAGAGGATAAGGGTAATGGTCAGAAGAAAAATGAGAAAGGTAAAGGTGTTTCTATTCCAGGACCTCGTCAGACGCAGAATTTCAAGAAAAGTGGAATGAGTTCGAGTTCTTCCAGTGGTGGATTTAGTGCCACAGGTCCGAGGAGAGGAGGTGGTAGGTTTGGTAATGGACCTAGATTTTCTGGTCAGAGAGGCTTTGGTGGTACTGGTAGTTCGGGTTCTCCGTTATGTCGCCGTTGTAATTTCCGACATCATGGGGAATGTAGGAGAATCAGTGGTGCATGCTTTACATGTGGTCAGACAGGACATAGAGCTATGAATTGTCCCCAGAATCAGCAGAGGCCCCAGCAGCCTGTTAGGCCAACACCAGCACCGACTCAACAGAACTTTAATTCAGGCAGTTATGGCCAGGGTGGTCGTGGTGGTGCTTATCACTATCAGGGTGATGCTGCTCCTTATGCTCCGGGACAGTATCACTATTCCCAGGATCCTTATTTTCAGAGTGGATATTCTCAGGATCAAGGAGGTTATACTTCATATCCGTCTATGCCAGCTAGCGGATCTCAGTGGTATCAGGGGGGTCAGCCCCAACAGAGCGGAGTTGCTGCTAGTAGTACAGGGTCGTTTAGGCCGCCTGCCCAGACAGGTCAAGGACGTACTCATCAGGGACGAGGTAACCAGAGTGGCAGAGGTCGTGGAGGACGACAGTCAGCTCAGGGACGTGTTAACCACATATCGCTACAAGATGCTCAGAACCATCCAGACTTGATTATGGGTACGTTGAATGTTCTTGGTCATTTTGCTAGAGTCTTGATTGATTGTGGTGCTACACACTCTGTGATTTCTCATACATTTGCTCAAAATAACGCAACCTCATCCTTCACCTCTAGGGTTTGATTTAGAGTTTGCTATGCCTAGAGGGGATAAATGTTATGTTGATAGTTTTTACTCTGGGTGTCCAGTGATGGTAGATAATGTCATTATGCCTGCTAATCTTATCCCGTTAGACATCGTGGATTTTGATGTGATTTTAGGGGCGGATTGGTTGCATTATAATCGCGCCCATATAGATTGTTACGGGAAATCAGTTACTTTTCTTCGTCCTGGACTACCCGAGGTTACATTTGTGGGTGAAAGAAATGGGGTGAGGCATGGTGTTATTTCAGCCATAAGGGTAAAGAAGTTGTTATCCAAGGGTTGTCAGGGATACTTGGCACATGTGGTGTTAAATGATGTTGATTCCGGTAGTGTGGAGGAAGTCGGAGTAGTCAGACACTATCCTGATGTATTTCCAGATGATTTACCTGGGTTGCCTCCAGATAGAGATGTGGAATTTTCGATTGATTTGCTTCCAGGTATGAACCCTATCTCTTTGACTCCTTATAGAATGGCACCAGCGGAATTAAGAGAGTTGAAAATTCAATTGCAAGAGTTAATTGATAAAGGTTTCATTCAGCCTAGTTCTTCACCTTGGGGAGCTCCAGTGTTGTTTGTAAGAAAGAAAGATGGAACTTTGAGATTGTGCATTGATTACAGGCAATTGAATCGGGTGACGATTAAAAAACCGTTATCCCTTGCCTCGTATAGATGATTTGTTTGATCAGCTCAAAGGTGCCTGTGTGTGTTTTCTAAGATCGATTTGAGGTCTGGGTATTATCAATTAAAGATTAAAGATGAGGATGTTCATAAAACAGCTTTCAGGACTCGTTATGGGCATTATGAGTTTTTGGTGATGCCATTTGGATTAACGAACGCTCCTGCAGCTTTCATGAGATTGATGAATGAAGTATTCCAGGAATATCTTGACAAGTTTGTTATTGTTTTTATTGATGACATCCTGGTATATTCTAAGTCGAAATCAGACCATATTCGACATCTTAACTTGGTGTTAAGGAAATTGAGGGAACACCGATTATATGCCAAATTTAGTAAATGTGAATTTTGGCTGGATCAAGTGGCATTTTTGGGACATGTGGTATCAGCTCAGGGAATTCAAGTGGATCCTCAAAAGATAGCAGCAGTGGAAAATTGGGAACAACCTCGAACGGGTCACTGAGGTGCGGAGTTTTCTTGGTTTGGCAGGTTATTATAGACGGTTTGTTCAAGACTTTTATATGATTGCCTTGCCATTAACGAAGTTAACCAGGAAGGATGTTAAGTTTGAGTGGGATGAAAGTTGTGAGCAAAGTTTCCAGCAGTTGAAGTATTGCCTTACTCATGCACCTGTGTTAGTACTTCCTGATGATGATGGTAACTTCGAGATCTATAGTGATGCTTCTTTGAATGGTTTGGGTTGTGTTTTGATGCAGCATAGTAGAGTGATTGCCTATGCTTCTAGGCAGTTGAAGACTCATGAAAGAAACTATCCGACTCACGATCTTGAGTTAGCAGCTATTGTGTTTGCTTTGAAGATCTGGAGACATTATCTCTATGGCGAGAAATGTAAGATCTTTACAGATCATAAAAGCCTTAATTACCTTTTCACTCAGCATGATCTTAATCTTCGTCAGAGAAGATGGTTGGAATTGTTAAGTGATTATGATTGCACGATTGAGTACCATCCGGGTCGTGCAAATGTGGTAGCTGATGCTCTGAGTAGAAAACCTCAAGGGCGACTTAATGCTTTGTATGCCAGTCGTGTTCCTCTTCTGGCAGAGTTGAGATCTACTGGAGTAGAATTAGAATGGGAAGAGCAAAGTGAAGCTTTTCTTGCCAATTTTCAAGTCAAGCCAATTTTAATTGATCGGGTGCTTGCAGCTCAATCGTTGGATGAAGAAATTCAAGAATTGATCAATTTAAGAAATGAAGGGAAGAAGAAAGATTTCAAGATCCGAGGATTAGATGGTATGCTTATGCAAGAGAACAGGATGTATGTGCCTAATAATGAGGAACTGAAGAAAGAAATCTTGGATGAAGCACATTGTTCGGCTTATGCTATGCACCCAGGAGGAACTAAAATGTATCATACCATTCGACCATTCTACTATTGGCCGGGTATGAAGAGAGAGATTGCGGAGTATGTGAGTAGGTGTATTGTCTGCCAGCAGGTTAAGGCTGAAAGAAAGAAGCCGTTTGGGAGATTGCAACCACTTCCCGTTCCCCAGTGGAAATGGGAGAATATAACGATGGATTTTGTGTATAAGTTGCCACGTACACAAAATGGTTTTGATGGCATTTGGGTGGTTGTAGATCGACTTACCAAATCAGCACATTTTATTCTAGTAAGGGAGAAGTACTCTTTAAATAAGTTGGCTCAGTTATTCATATCGAAGGTTGTAAAGTATCATGGTGTCCCAGTGAATATTATTTCTGATCGAGATCCAAGATTTACTTCTAAGTTTTGGATAGCTTTTCAAGAAGCTTTGGGTACTAGATTGCTTTACAGTACAGCTTATCATCCACAGACAGATGGTCAGTCGGAGAGAACTATTCAGACACTCGAGGATATGTTGAGATCCTCTGTGATGCAATTTGGTGATTCTTGGCATGATCGTTTGGATTTGATGGAGTTTGCCTATAATAATAGTTTTCATTCGAGTATTGGAATGTCTCCATTTGAAGCACTTTATGGTAAAGCTTGTCGTACGCCATTATGTTGGTCAGAGGTTGGTGAAAGAATACTTGAAGGGCCAGAGATTGTGGATGAGACTACTCAGAATATTCAGGTAATTAAATCTAACCTGAAAGTGGCCCAGGATAGACAAAAGAGCCTAGCGGATCGTCATACCACGGACAGAATGTATAATGTGGGCGACTATGTTTTTCTGAAATTATCGCCTTGGAGAGGTGTGGTTCGCTTTGGAAAGAAAGGAAAGCTAAGTCCCAGGTACATTGGACCTTATGAGATCACTGAGAGGATTGGTGAAGTTGCTTACAGGTTGAAGCTACCTCCAGAGTTGTCTAAGGTACATAATGTGTTCCATGTCTCGATGCTTCGGCATTATGTGTCAGATCCTTCACATGTGATTCCTCCTCAACCATTGGAAATTAATCCGGACTTGACGTACGATGAGGAACCAGTGACTATACTGGATTGGAAAGATAAGACCTTGAGGAATAAGACCGTGAGCTTGGTAAAAGTATTGTGGAGGAACCATTCAGCGGAAGAAGCTACTTGGGAGACAGAAGAACGGATGAGAGATATGTATCCAAGGTTATTCTATGAGTATTGAGGGTTTGGTTAGTGGCTGGAATTTCGGGGACGAAATTCTATAAGGAGGGGAGATTGTCACAGCCCGTCCCGGAATTTTAATTCCGAGGACGTGAAATGACCAATGTGACCTTAAACGGGATTAAGGTGTGTAAATGTTTGACATTTGTTTTACCTAAAGATCCTAAACTATTGTTATTTAGAATATTATTTTATGTTAGGGACTTAAACTAGGGTTTAGATTTACATTTGTTTGGTCTAATAATTTTGTATTGGACTTAGGTGGGATCCCCACCTCCTGAAATCCTTCCCCAAAACCCGTAGGTTGTCTCTCTCCCTCTTTCTTCCTCATCTCTCCCTCAGAAACACTCTCTCTCTTACTCTCTCGAACTCTCTCAAGCTCTCGGACAAACACCAAGAACAGCCACAAACGTGCACCAACGTCCAATCTAAGATCATCTTCGTGATCTTGGGAACTTCACGAGCACGGGGGTATAAGTTTCAGGTAAGTTTCATTTCTGAAATCCTAGTTTCAAAACACCCCGTGAATTGACACTGTTCACGAACTTAAATTTCGTTGTGTTTTAGGCTAATCTGAGATCACCACGAGTCTTAGAAAGTTCCAAGGAGGCTCGGAGTGCCTCGTTTGAACAAAATGGACGTCAGGATCGTTGGGTTCGAGTTTGGCCGAATTTGAGGAATTTTGGAAGGTATGATCTTGTTGTTTTTAGACCTTAAAACCCTTCCATCGTGATTGTACATGTGAAATGCTTCATTTTGGTTTAAAATGCGAAGAAATTGGTTGAAAAACGAAGGAGAAAAGTCAATTTGAAATTTTTCCAGAAACCGGCGAACAGTCGCCGGCGACCGGCGACTCGCCGGAGAAGACAGGGAATCTTCCGTCAAGTTTGACGGAATATTCCGACGCCGTTAGTTAACTTTAACGGAAACCGTTAGTTTTTAACGGAATATTCCTGGAATATTCCTAACGCCGTTCACTGTACCGTCAGTGTGCCTGGCACGTGGCTGCGCGTGGGCCGCGCGTAGGTCCGTGCCACGTCAGGCGTGTGGGGGCGCGTGGAGCATCCAAAAATTATTTTAAAAATATGGGGATGATCCTGAGGTTGTGTAGGTCACTGTGGTATATTCATATACCCAATTTGAGCATCGTATGAAGAATTTATTACCTAGTTGGTTTAGGTGCGTTAAATGTGCGTTAAATGATTGTTTTAAGTTATTTCACTTCTAGGTGGAACTTATAACGAGGACGAGCACATCCAGGGGCGTCAAGGGGGTTACGACCCGGCGACATACCAGTGAGTGGGCATTTGTTTTTATATATACCTATATACTCGATTTCCCCAGAAATCAAATTTAAATGAAAAATATATTGAAATGAAATGAAATATGATGTGATTGCCATGTATAGAATGTTATGGATATTATGAACTGTCGTATGATGCATATATGTATGATGGTGCTGTGGACGCACAGGTAAGTATTTAATTACTGTTATGTTGAGGATGATGATATATTGAGCTCATATCCTGCACCATGGTTTAGTGCTTATAGTATTCACCGCATCGCACGCTCGCCTTGGATCCAAGTAGATGCTGGTCGTACAGTCCACGCGGAGTGGGTACGACGGGCCAGTCGTAGAGTGTTAGTGAGATTATGACTGGTGGGTGACCTTAGGTTATTGTATGCAGATGATTGATGAGAGAAGCACTAGAGCGAATATTACCATGAGTCGTTCAGACTACATTAGGTGGTTCCGACTTATGTGCAGAAGGCCGGACAGGTCACGCGGAGTGACTCCGGCAGAGAGTGAGATTGATAGATGTTGAGCTCTAGGTTCAATCGTTCAGGGCTATTAGAGGGCCTCCGATTGATTATTTCTTTTACCTGATTATATTATGTTAATGCATTCATACTACACTGTTGAAATTGGCATGGTACATTCTTTATTGAATCTGTTATAAGATTGATGATTGAGACAGTTGAGATATATATGCTATATACTATTTTTCTGGGAAAGTATACAGGTTTTCCAAAAAGGGGTTATAAATGTGGATTTATGAAATGATTTGGAAAAGCTTGATTTTCGCCCACTCACGTTTTCTGTTTTTCGCCCCTCCAGGTTCTAGTTGATAGTTGAGGCGTTGGTGGCCTACGAGGACTGCTTCGGCGTTCTGACAGACTAAATAAATGTAGGATTCACCCGAGGGTGTTGTAAATTAGTTATGTTCCTACTTGACTGCACCTAGATGCTTATGCTCTGTTTATGTGTGTTTAGTACACTCTTATGCACATAGAATGCTCGGTTGTAAATAACTGCAATTAGTGGTTTTCGTTGACTCGTATTTTATTATTAAATCGTTTCCGCTTGCGTTATGGTTACGTCACACTCACGTGACGGCCAGCACGTCCTAGTCTTCGGGTTAGGGTGTGTCAGTTTTATTTTAAATCTCATTAATATAAATAATACAAATTTCATTTTTAAGTTAAAAATATAATAACTTACATAGAAATTCATTATTACATTAATGTTAGAGACTTCAATAAAAAACTAAAAATCACAAAGATTTCAGTTAAATAATATTGGTAATTAGGGGAGACCGCATCCAAAATGTATCTAAAATAAAATATAAAACAATATCACAGAATCCTGTCAGTAGGTTGTCGTACTCTAAAATAATAAATTAATTTTTTTAGCATAGCAAATTAATTTTTAAAGTAAGTTTAATTAGTTGATTAATGTTCTTCTTTCTTTAAATATCAACTTCTGTTTTCTGAAAACCCCATAAGTATTCTGGAGCTAAAGATATCAACCAGCCAAACATGGAGTCCACCCAGAACAAGCCGCATGTGGTAGTCTTAGCAAGCCCAGGGATGGGCCACGTCACCCCACTCCTCGAGCTAGCCAAACGACTTGTCGTTGACCACGGCTTCCATGTCACCTTCCTTTCCATCACCACCGACGCACCACCCGCCCAGCTCCAGCTCCTTAGCAACCCCTCTATCCCTTCCGACCTCCATGTCGTCAGCCTCCCCAACGTCGACGTGTCCCAACAAGCCAACAATGTCTCAGTTCGCATCGTTCTCATGATCCAAGAAACCCTAAAGTCTCTGACATTTGTCCTGAAAAACTTACAATCTCCCATCAAAATTTTCGTCTTCGATCCTTTCTGCACTATAGCACATGATGTCGCTGCCGACCTCTCCATCCTCACATACCTTTTCCTGACGTCTTCGGCTTCGTTTCTGGCGTTGGCCATGTTCTTCCCCACGATCAACGCCGTGGTCAACGGCGATCATTCAAAAATAGCCAAGGAGATTCTTGTCCCCGACTGCAAGCCCCTGTTTCTTGACGATCTTATCCCTGGAGTTTTAATGCCTGAATTATTACTTATGTCCAACATATTGCCGATCGTGAATGGCGTTTTGGTAAATACGTGGGAAGAACTCGAGCCGGTGACGCTTCATTCCATTAGAGAAAGCCCTTTCTTTCTTGGTCTGCCAACGCCCCCGGTTTATCCCATTGGGCCGTTGACCAAAGAAAGCGAACTGGTAACATCAACATTGGAATCTTTGAAGTTGATGAAGTGGCTGGACCAGCAGCCGGCCTGTTCAGTTGTGTACGTGACCTTCGGTAGCGAATGGACTTTGTCGGGGAAACAGATGAGTGAACTGGCGTTGGGATTGGAGCTAAGCCAAAAACGATTCGTTTGGGTGGCGCGGCCTCCGAATGAGGCGAGCGTGTCGGGGAACTTTTTTAAGGCCAGTTTCAACGAGGACGATCCGGCGTCGTATTTGCCGAAAGGGTTTTTGGATAGGACGCGAGGGAGAGGGTTGGTGACGTCCTCGTGGGCCCCGCAAGTGGCGGTTCTGAGTCATCAGTTTGTGGCTGGATTTGTGACCACTGCGGGTGGAATTCGGTGTTGGAGAGCGTATTGCATGGGGTGGTGATGATTGCGTGGCCGCTGTACGCTGAGCAAATGATGAATGCGAGGTTTTTGGTGGATGCGGGAGTGGCGGTGTGGCCGGAGGCGGAGGAGGATGATGGGAAGAGAGTGGTGGGGCGTTGCGAGGTGGAGAGGGTGGTGAGGACGATTTTGGATAAGGAGGAAGGAGAAGGGTTGAGGCGGAGGGTAAGGGAGCTTCAAGGCACTGCCATGAAAGCATTGGAAGTAGGTGGGCCATCCAATGGATCGCTCGTCTAGGGAAGGAGTGGCGGGAGTCTTAGCGCTTCGAATAATTTGATGGGTGTAAAAATTTATAAACTTAACAATTGTGACTGGCATGTTAAGTTTTAAATCGTTATTGTTAGATTGATAAAATCGTTCAGGTCTAGCGAAATGTTAATAAATATACAAAACTTACATGTAGAAGTTTGAGATTTCTTGTAATGTTTAATGCATGCATTAGTGTGAAACTTTATGGGATTATCTTTTTCAAAGTTAGGAAATCAAAATTTTAAACCAAATGATGTAGTGGTTCATGATTGAATTATTACTTAAGTGTTGATTAATATGTTTATCTCCTGTTGGTTACACATTACTTGGTTTGCTAAATTGGTTTAAGAATTTGGTCTCCTTAGTATTATCCTTTTTCTCATCACTTTCAAGTGAGGGTGATGCTCACCACCCTATTTATCACAGTTAGATAAGTTTAAATTTCTAGATATATGTAGCGGATAGACACAAATCTTAAAATTTAAACTCATTCAACAGTAATAAGTAGGATGGTGAGCAAAAATGCACCCACACTTTATAAGCCAACAAAAATAAAGTGTACAATTTGTAACACAAATAAATGTTAAACTTTCATTACTCTTCATAACACACTAGAATTAGGATAATACTTGCATTCTTCGCATGGGGGAATGCACATATTCCACAATTCTCCAATAATGAATCTTCACCGTATAAACTTCGTAATCAGAACCGTTTAATTTATTAATCTTCATTTGAAAATCATCTGCTAAAAATTTATTTGAATCGGAGATCATTTATGTTAGATCCCACATCGCCCAGAGGAGTGGATCCTCTATGCCTTATATGTACATATCCACCTCCTTTAGCACGAGGCCTTGTGGGAGCTCACTGGCTTCGGGTTCTGTAGGAACTTCGAAGTTAAGTGAGAATGGGCCAAAGCATTCTCAGGATGGGTGACCCACTGGGAAGTTCTGCTCGTGTGAGTTCCCAGAAACAAAACCGTGAGGGCATGGTCGGGGTCCATAGCGGACAATATCGTGCTATGGCGGAGTCGAGCCAGGGATGTGGTGGAGCCCGGGTAGGGATGTGACAATTTGGTATCAGAGCCAATCACTGGCCGGAAGTGTGCTGACGAGGACGTCAGGCCCCAAAGGGGGGTGGATTGTTAGATCCCACATCGCCCAGGGGAGTGGATCCTCTATGCCTTATATGTACATGCCCACCTCCTTTAGCAAGAGGCCTTTTGGAAGCTCACCAGCTTCGGGTTCCGTAGGAACTCCGAAGTTAAGTGAGAATGGGTCAGAGCATTCCTAGGATGGGTGATCCACTGAGAAGTTCTGCTCGTGTGAGTTTCTAGAAACAAAAACGTAAGGGCATGGTCGAGACCCAAAACGGACAATCTCGTGCTACGGCGGAGTCGAGCCCAGGATGTAGTGGAGCCTGGTCAGGATGTGACAGTTTAGTCATCCAAATTTATACAACAAATCGATGGTGTGAGTACCAAGTAACATAATTATGATGAACCGTCCAACTATTGACACATTTGGATGACTAAACAATCTCCGATTCTAATAATTCTTTTATAGGAATGATCTACAAATGAAGATGTATAAATTGAACAATGTCGATTATAAAATTTATATAGAAAACTAGATTTTAATCCTTAAATAAGATGAAGTTTAGAAAAAATATCTCATACAAGATTTACAAGATTAAAAATTAATTTTAATCCCTAGACTCTATTTAATATTAGGATATGCATTCAATGTCTTTTTTTATTTATTTATAGTTTTATGGTGTCCACGAATTACATTATATGAAAAGTACTGTAAATTTTATCCCCCTATTATGATCTTCAATGAGTCCCTAAGGTTATATCCCCCTGTTGCTGGTTTTGTAAGGGAATTTAGACTGGGAAATGTCATTGTTCCTGCTAATGGTGCATTAATTATCTCAATTGTCTATCATTTCACCACGATCCTCGAATCTGGGGACAGGACGCACAACTTTTCAAACCAGAGAGATTGCGGAAGGGGTTGCTAAAGCAACGAACAATAATGTAGGTGCATTTGTGCTGTTTGGATTAGGACCTCGAAGTTGTGTGGGCTTAAACTTGCAATCAATGAAGCAAAGATTGTTCTGCCAATGATTCTACAACGCTACTCCTTCACTCTATCCCCAGGTTATGTTCACTTGCCCATTCAGTATGTGATATTAACGACTATAGTGTAAAAGATAGGACATAGAAGTATTAGTTTGTAAATGTTTCTACAGTCTGTTAGAGTCTATTGTTAGTATTGTTTGGACAGTTAGGATCAGTTATAAGTGAGCTGTCAATCATCCGTGTGGTGATGTAAATGTATAAATACTAAAGGTTGTAATCTTATTAACTCAAGATATGAAAAGATAATTTTCTTATCATGTGACACTGACAGTTCGTCCACAACACGAGTTCAGGTAATGCTTCACCCACTTTGGACTGCAAAGGGGAATGTGGCGCATAAATCTAGCAAAATTTGTATCATCTGATCAGCTACCCATCGTATGTATTAGTCAATTATCATGTCAACTTTTTGAAGGTTTTATTCTGCTTTACTTTTGGCAGCACTTTTGGATAATCTGTCACAAATTTTTGTTTTTTTCTTTTGGTTTTGTTATAAAGAATCCATCAAGAAAATGCAAACGTACCCGACGGTCCCGACCGATGATTAGGAATTGTTTATGTGGAATATGGAAAGTGTTGGATTTTTCCGGCCAATAGCGGATTTTTTAGTGGGCAAAAGAAGTAGAATAAAAAGAATCTTTCTACTTCTCGATGTAAAATGAAAGCTTGTGTGCCCTCTGCAGTACCGATTACATTATTAGTAATATATATGGTTTCCTTGAAGCATAAATCAATAGCCTTATTTTTTCTAGAGAAACTTGAATTACAACAAGAAACCGAAAGGATAATGGCTTTACATGACTAAATATCAAGTTTGAACAACCGATTACTCAGGCACTAGTTATAGCAGGAGCTCAGCCTTGAAGGAAAGCTCGGAACCACTTAACGGAGAGCTTGGGGTAGCACGTGTAGTTATTGAAATCAACAAAGTAAATACCAACTCGATTAAACCCCATGCCCCATTCAATGTCGTCGAATAACAAAGTAAATACCAACTCGATTGAACCCCATGCCCCATTCAGTGTCGTCGAATAGAGCCCAACAAAAGTACCCTTTGACATTCACCCTATTCCTGCAATAATTTTTGTTAAGAATGAGGCATTATATTTGTTTTAGTGTCAAATAAAAATATATATCATCACTTACTGAATTGCCTTATTGATTCGATACAAGTGACGAGTAACAAAGGAAATTCGATATGGATCCTCTAGAAGTACTTCAAGTGGAGAGCCATTGTCCTTGTGGTCAGCAAGTCCTACAAAGAAAAGGTGTAGAAGATATAATGCCATCCTTTTTTATTTGGAAACTTTAACGAAAAACTTCCGGTACTGTTCATTTTAACGAAAAACCACATTTTTATACTAAAAAGTCAATCATGGTACTATTCACTTACCCTTTATTTTGTCCTTATTGTTCAAATTCAAAGTTTTCAAGCTCTTTTCATTAGTTTTCCTTTTTTATTTTTGTTATGCATATTTTGATTAACAGTATATATACAAGGATTAACTGAAGCATAAGAAATCGAACCATTTTCAGAAATGTAGACTTTTGGATTTTGATATTTATCCTTTACGTACTCCAACAGCTTCTGAAGCCCTTCCGGCCAATGATTACCGGTTTGCACCATAAGGAAAAAATTAACCACACATTTTCCTCAAACAAAGCCGACAACACCAATGTTTCATTTCTTACCAAGAGCATAGAATTTTAAAAAGTTTCTTACCACACCAAGAATTTCTTCATCTTTGATAACTGCAACAATAGGAAAACGATCAACACGACGGAATATCAAAACTATGCTTGATGTTTGATTTTTCTTTTGTCCTTATGGTTCTAGAGAGCAAGATATCTTACCTATTGTTTCGGTCCATGTATCGAAGGAGTAACGCAACACCTCACCTGGAGGAGGAGCCTTATGTTTGGCATATGTTGATGTATAATAATTGATTCCAACCAAACCTAAACTCCCATTGAGCAGAACTTTCTCTTTCTGCTGAAAAAGTGGGAAGCCTCTCCTTCACCCTCTCTGATGTAAATTTAAACTAACCTAAATAATAGATTAATCTAAACCAAATTAAACTCGCAAGCGCACGAATCAATTGTAGAAATAAATGCAAATACGAGGTCGATCCCACATAGATTGCTTTTAATGCCAATTCAACCAGTTGATTACGTGAAACTTAACTTAACTAGTGAACGAATGATTGATTAATTGATTATGAAGAATAATTAAAACTTCAACTTGAAATTAGACTAAGAATATGAATAACACAAACACGCAACAAATGAAAGTTTAAAAGAAATTAATGTGATGAAAGCCTAAGGTCATGAATCCACCAATAACAATCATATTCTCTTTTCTTTGAGCCGATTACTATCCATTTACCATGCCAATGTTTAAGGTTGTTTTTGCTAAAGTATGAATTAATCCTTGGTCAGGCATCAACTCGTGTGTCTATACGTGAAAAGTATATCCTATTGGTTAGGCATACAGTTAAACACATAAAAACCCATTAAGCACTGAAGAATTATGTCAACCAAGTAGGACTAGTTTGATATTGGTCATCCTCACTAGTTAGTCCACTCTT